CTCTAACAATCATAAATGTGATACGTTTTGCTACACAGTTTTGTTTGTAGCCAACAAAAATACTTTTGCAGGAAGAGGCTAAGTGGATATTTCACTTAAATTCACTTTCTCCTCATGGACTAAATTCTGAGTTAGACTTGTTTCTTGTAAGACACCTATTTCCTCTGTGTGTACACAAGTTATTTTTACAGGTAATAGCCAGGTTGGATATTTCATTTTTACTCACTCTCTCCTCTTGGATTTAAGTTTGAGTTAGATTTCAGTAGTTTCCTATTAACTATGATCTCCTCAGAATGTAAACGTTTTGTGAACAATGATTGCATGGTTTATATTAGGGCAAGTCTGGGCAGCATAAACTTTCTCTTTAAATGTGTGATCTCGATTTTGCCACCTGTTCGTAATTAAGATAGTGTTTTTATGTATAGGGAGTAGTTTGTCAGGATATTATGAGCATGGAAAGAATTTGTTTCATTGGAGTGGGAAGAATGTTAGAGTGTTAATTCACAGATTAGAACTGTGTATTTTTAACTTTGGGGTAGGCATTATGGAGTTTGCATGCATGTATGAGTGACAACATAAGATGGTCATTTGATTGTAATTGTTCTTCCTCTCATTTCAGTGACTTGTAGATTAATGTTGCATATGCAATTTCCGTAGTGTGTATGCATACATCTTTATTACTTGTTGAAGAAACACTACTCACTGCAAAACAGCAGTCTAAATATATTTTCATAATACTACATCAAGGTTGTTTTCATCGTTTACCTCCAGAGGTTTGGCAGGTGGCTACATGTAAAAGAGTAGGGGCACCAAGGTTAGGGAAATCTTTTCTAAGTCATGTTCTGCCCCATTGCTATAAGCCTGGCCTGTTTCAGTGGGCTGTTGGTTTGTGCTGGCTGCTGATTCAGGTCATGCTGCTGAGCTGACAACTGGATTTGTTTTCATATCATTCTGCAGGCATGTGTTTGCCAGTTGCTTTTTATTTTACGGCATGCATTTTAAACTAGTGAACTCTTGCAGGTCACCATCTAATTATAATATCCTGTTATAATGCTTTCCCTAGTTGTTCTTCCTTTCACTGATAGTGCAAACTACAGCTTGAAAATCTTACCAGACCTTCAGCAATTCCCCCCACACTACCATAATAATTAATAATTATTATTGTATGGCAGTTTGTGTAGTATAGCCAGGAGATCCTAAGATTGCCTGGCAGCCCGAAGTTCTAGCTCTTTTAGTGTTATGCACCACTAGGTGGAGAGCTAGACTTTTTTTTAAGGCAAGAGACATTTCAGAGGTGGTTTGCCATTGCCTGCCTCTGCATCATGGCCGTGATGTTCCTTGGGACTGCCCATCCAAATACTAGCCAGGACTGACCCTGCTTAGCTTCCAAGACGTGATGGGATTGGACTAGTCTGGGCTATCCAAGTCAAGGTCCCCCACCATCAACCGGACATGAAGCTATCCACACAAGTAGTATATTTTCTAGACACCACTGTAGAAATACATAATGTAAGTGTAAAACTATACAGGAAACCTACTGATCACCAAACATATCTACACATCTCTAGTGACCATCCTAAATACACCAAACAATCCACTGTCTACAATCAAGCTCTACGCTACAGCCACATCTGTTTTGACCTCTCTGACAGATCCTCACCTGTGGAATCTACAAGACATTTTTGGAATGACAACATCCACTGGATGTAGTAAAGAAACAGATCAACAAAGCCAGAATGATACCAAGGGATACCCTGCTATAAGACATGCCCAAATGAAACAACAGAACATCACTGGCAGTCACATACTTCTTAGCTCAAACCAGTTCAACACATCATTAACAACCTACAACCTATGCTGGACAATGATACTCCTCTCTCACAGGCACTGAGAGGCAAACCTGTTCTTGTACACGGACAGCCTCCTAGCCTTGAACAACTTCTCACCCATAACAATTCCCTCCCTAACATGGGCACAGAGTCTGGGACCAGGACCTGCAACAAACCAAGATGCCAACAATATTCATTCTGACAACACAATCACAGGGCCAAACAACACCAGCCACGCCATCTCAGGTTCATTCACTTGTTCATCTTCCAATATTATACATGCCATCAAATGTCAGCAATGGCCTTCCACCCTTTATACTGGACAAAAAGGTCATAAACGTACATAAAACAGGTATTAAAAATCACAACACTCAAAAACCACTGGGAGAACATTTTAATCTTCCAAGACATTCCATTGCTGACCTAACAGTATCACTCCTCAGAGAAGCTTCAAGGGGAGTTTACAACAGAAGATTGCTGAACCTCAGTTCATTCACAAATTCAGAACAATGGATACCCCAGGACTGCGTAGGGATACAGGATTCTTATCTCACTACAGATGCTGATTTTCTGCCCCTGAGCATTTCTCCCCTACTCTAATCAAACTGATTACATTTTGCATTGTACCTTTTTTGCAACATCCCTCCCACCTTTCCTGACTGCGATATAAGGACTCAAGTATCTCCATTACTACTTGTGTCTGATGAACTCTTGAAAGCTTATACCTTGAAAATCTTGTTGATGCTACTGGGCTCAAATCTACCATTTCAGGTACAATGGACAGAATCAAAACAGAGCTCTCCATAAGAGAGGGATGTCTCTCACACATGTCTAATTTCTTTAAGTTAAAGATCAAGGTGGGTAGCTGTGTTTGTAACAGTAGAAAAAAAAGAGTCCAGTAGCACCTTAAAAACTAACAACATTTGTGGCAGGGTATGAGCTTTTGTGAGTCACTGTTCACTTCTTCAGAAGAGCCCTGTGGGATCAAACCAGTGATCCATCTAGTAGGTATCTGAAGAAGTGAGCAGTGACTCACAAAAGTTCATACCCTCCCACAAATTTTGTTAGGTGCTACTGGACTCTTACTCTTATTTAGTTAAGTTCTTGACTTAAACCAGCCTACATTGTGCCAGTGTGGTGCAGTGGTTAGAATGCTGGACTACCATCTGGGAGATTTGAGTTAAAATCCCAGTCTGCCATGAAACTTGCTGGATGTCTTTGAGCCAGCCGCTCTCTCTTGCAGCCTAACCTGCCTCATAGGTTGTTGTGAGCATAAAATGAAGAGAGAACTATGTACACTGCCCTGAACGCCTTGGAGTAAGAAAGGAAGGATAAAAATGTACTAGGTGCTTATAGGTAAAGGTAAAGGTTCCCTTGCTCGAAAGCCAGTCAAATCCGACTCTAGGGTTGCGGTGCTCATCTCCGTTTCAAAGCCAAAGAGCCAGCGCTGTCCGAAGACGTTTCCGTGGTCATGTGGCCGGCATGACTATAGGTGCTTATACAGCCCTTTAAAAAAGCAAAAACCAATTTCTCTTACAAGTAAAACTGTGACTGAATTGCAGGCTGATGCAGTCTAATCAATTCCACCTTGCAGTTTGTCTGAATGGAACCAGGGAGGGGGGTAATGTCTGCAACTAGAAAAACAAAGCATCAAACCCCACCCCCCAATCGGCTGTACAGATAATAAAGCTACCAGTTCTGTTGTTCTGCCTGCAAAGGGAGAAGCAGCTCTCCAGAATCTACCAACGTAGCTTGTATGCAGTGTCAGTTCACCCTCTCCCGATTGTGTTCAGCTGTGCGTAGTAGAACTGAGTCCTGCTGATGCTGTTCTTCCTCCCCCTCCATTCCACCAACATCCCCACATAAGGCACACGGAGACCAGAAGTATGATAAGTTCCTTTTTTTTGCTTTTTTACACAAATATATACAGGGTATTATACACATCTCTACACAGACACAGTGCCAGTTAGAACACAGCTCCCTGCAAGGGAGCACCAATGGTCCACGCCCAACACATCCATCAATCACCAGCAGAGGCCCACCCTGCACTGCAGCTGTTCTGTACAGAGAGATCAGAGCCATCCCAGTCAGCTCTTGCTGCGTCGAGGACAGGTTGAGGCGGTGGGGCTGCTGCAGATGGGGGCAGTGATGGCTGGGCTTAGGAACATGGTGCCAAGGGACCAGGACGGGCACAGACAGGAAACCCTGGCGTGGGACACAGACTATTTCTAGACAGTATCAGAGAGACATCCTGGAACAAACAAACAAAATAAAACCTCCGTGCATTTCAGCTGTAGTGTGGGTTAAGGTGGGTAGTGGGGGGAGAACGAGGGATGCTCTGAACACAGACTTGAATCTTCCACCTCGTCCCCCCGAAAACACCGTAAAAGAAAACCCACCACAAAACGTGGCCCATCTCCTAAGGGTGAATTGGGTTCCTCTAACTCCCATGCCTCCCTTCCTGGAAGGGAGTATGAAGTCCAGCTCCTCCTCCTCCATTTGCTGGGAACCCTGGTCAAGGAACCTCAAGCAAGGCCTTCATGGTTTTAGGCCTGACTTGACCGAGTCTCCTCCTCTTCTGGTGCTCCAGCTTCCTGCTTTGACCATGGTGGGGAAGTGAAGGCGTTCCTCCCTGTACAGCCCTGCCCAGTGGTAGAGATCTTGGTTTGTTAACCTCGACAAACCCCTTTGAACCACCGGTCTCCCATTTGGAGGCATGTGTGTATATGGGGGGGGGGGGAGAGGCATCCTAACACTGGCATAATCTCTCAAAGGCTGCTTGTGGCAGGCAGGAAATAGAGGAAAGGAAGGGAATGCAAAAATTAAAAACAGCTGAACAGCAGGATTTATGTCCTCCTTTACACTTCTCATGATGGGGAGTGGGAAGTGGTGGTGGTGGTTCAGAGAAGGGATTCATCTCAAAACAGAGAACCAGCTCGCCTCAGTCACTAGACCTTGCACACCCCAGAAAAAGAAACCTCTCGCCAGAAATGAAAAAGGAACCCAGTGCTTCCCCACATCTTTCCTCCACAAGCCACCCCAAAGGGTGGGTCATGCACATCACAGCCCACTGCCCCAATCTCTGCCTTTTCTCTTTGCTTTTTTCCTTTGAGGCTGGAAGTACCAAACTGCTGGTATATTAAAGTGCCTAGAGAAGTTGATTCCATCTCTGCCTTTTCTCTTTGCTTTTTTCCTGTGAGGCTGGAAGTACCAAACTGGTATCTTAAAGTGCCTGGAGAAGTTGATTCTATGACAACCTTTGGTTCACGCCAATCTCAAAGAAGCTAAGAGCCCTACTGATTGAACGCTGGGCAAACTCAGCCGTCTGTGCAAGCGATGCGGACAATGTTTGGATGGAGGTTTAGCAACTCCTGAAGACCAAAGCTCACGAGGCAGCGACGCCTGGAGTTGGAAGGCAATTCCTTGGAGTTGCACGCAAGGCAAAGGGGCTGGTAAAACAGAGCTGAGCTGCCAATAAGTGAACCTCCAGGGGGCCTTGTGCAAGACCCTGAGGTGAATGTGGGGGAGCCGGAAGGCCGGACAGCACCTGGGATCCAGCGATCTCTCCCTCTACGACAAACCAACCCTCCTCTTCCCTACAAATCAGATGGGGCAGGAGAACATTTGGGTTTTAGTCAGTTTAAGGTAAAACGAAAAATGTGCAAAAATGCTGAGTGGCCCAAATCATTGTGTCCCGGGATCAAGACCCCGGGCGTTACTCAACATGGGCCACTACAGTTTGTTCAGGGATAGGAGGGGGGGGCTGACAAGAAGTACAGTCAGTCTGGTTGGGGCAATCATTCCTGCCTTTTCCCTGTTCACCCCCTTGCCCTGCAAGGGTCTCTTTTGCCACCAGAAAGGTTTTTTGCCATTCGTAGTTGCTCACTGGCAAGTCTCTGACACAGGGCAGCACAATCCAGTAGCGGCTCCCATTGCGTAGGGCACGCAGCAGCAGCCCCTTTTCGTACAACACCTCTGCCTCTAGACTGCACCGTGGGCAACCTTTCCCTGGGAGAGACAGAGTGGGAAGGACTGGTCAAGACACCAGGTTATCACAGGGCTGCGTCTTGGGCACTGGAACGGGAATGCTTGCTGATGCACCGCCATGTAGGAGATTTGTACACAAGTTAAAAACAGCCGTGTGTGGCTGGGACCACCGATCCCTGCCAGGATCAAAGCCACCCACACTTAGCTTGGAAATCTAGAACCTTGATTAAAGCTCAGTTCTCTTTTAAGCTTAGTAAGCAGTTAGTGTCCATGATTCTAGACCGGGACCAGGGTGGGCTGTCGAGGGTGTGCTTCCAGGAGGAGGAGGAGAAGAGTCTTGCCGCTAGGAAGCACCCAGAGTCCTGTTGTCCTGGCTGGCCTCTGCTCCCCTCCCTGTCACAGTGGGAGCAGCAAGGAGCCAAGGCCACGCCCTCCACTCCATCTTGGCTTGGTAGAGTTTGCAGTAGTTGTTAAGGGTAGGTAGCAGGTCAAATAAATTCCTCTTCCATCCTGAGGGGACGGCGACACAGAGAGAGAGAACTGCGACAGGGAAGGCAGGAGGAAATGGAGGCCTGATGCAAGGGTCCCTTCCCCATCTTGGAACGAGCAGAAATGCAGCAGCCAGGTTGGTGGGAAGAAGCAGTGGTTGGCGCCTCCCTTGGGTTGCCCTTCCCTCCAGTTCCATTGCCTCTCTCTCTGTCACTCACTCTCTCTCTCTCTCGTTCTCAACACACACACACACACACACACACACATACACACAGTGTGCAGCAACCTCTTCAGCTCATGGGACTCCTCTGCCCCTTTGCACACTTCTACGTCCCTAATGGTGGATCTCGTTTTCTATCAGGCTGTCTTCGCAGGACTGGAAATCCGTATCGTTTATGCCGTTGGGGTTGATGAGCTCCTCGTCTTGGGACCCCCGTTCCTCAGACTCAGCCGCGTCACCTTCCGGCGAAGAATCTTGCAGCACTTGGGCAATGTACTTCTGCTAAGGAGTGGATATAAAAAACAACAATGAGGGGCCAGTTAGCCTACCTGTACCTGTGGGCCCCCTGGCAGCAGAGCATGATGGTTAAGTGCCATGCAATTGAGAGGCTGAGAGCAGTCATGCTGGTACAGAAAGGAACCCTACATTGTATGGAATAGCTGTTCTATCGCATGAAGGAACAGGAGTGTCACGTGACCAAGAGCCCTGGTGTCAAATGATGGATCAGGTTTGCAATGTTGCTCGCGGTACAGCCGTTGCCCTTCTGGATTCAGTAACTACATAGGAACATGAAGAAGAACCCTGTGGGATCGAACCAGTGATCCATCTAATCCATCATGCTGCTTCACATAGTTAGGGTTGCCAGGTCCCTTACCTGCTTTTAGCGGGGAAGGAAGCTCCTGCTCTGGGACTTTTCGTGCACGCACCATGATGACGTCACCTGGAAGTCACGTCCTCACACGAGGCACATCACCGGGGATGCTCTAGCATTCATCCTGAAAACTCTATGATTACATAGAGTTTTCAGAATGAATGCTAGAGTGTGTCCCCCCCCCCCCGTGATGTGCCCAGCGCGATGATGTCACCTCCAGGTAAGTGTCGGCCCAATCTGGACACTTGGGCTGGGTGGGTTCCCCGCGCCAGCTGGATCTGGGCCAGCGGGTCAGCGACCCTTTGAACGGGCAAACCCCCGCCCCCCCTGGGGGACCTGGCAGCCCTACATACAGTTGCCAACCTGTTGCCCTGGAGGGCCAACAACAAGGCAAAGATGCCAGGGCCTTCCCCTAATGTTGTCTCTTTGCACTGAGTTTCAGGGACTTACTGCTGCTGACTACAGAGGATCCCTTTAGTCAGTGTGGCTGGTAGCCGCTAATGACCCTATCATTCCTGAATCTGTCTAATCCCATATATGATACATTACATATAACTTCATTTTAAGATCCTAAACAAACTCCTCTAGACTGCAACTTAGTTCTGACATTTCCTAGCTCTGAG